GGGGGGGGGGGGGGGCGGGCTGGACACTTTCCTTTTCATGGATAAAAAATCAATGAGGGTATAATGACTTTCATGTAGTATGTTGCAACTCAAAAAATAGTTCAAAAAATGGTTAAATTAGCAACTGCAAGGAAATAAAAACTTATCAAAAATAGAATAGTAAAATAGACAATCGAAATAAAAGATAGGACAAATGAAACCTATCAAAAATAGAATAGCAAAATAGACAAACCAAATAAAAGATAAGACAAATGAATGGAAGTGCTCACTGAAAGCATGGGAAAATCTAGAGAGTCTGATCACCTCATCACAACAGTCGAGGCTACTTACAATTTCATAAGAAATGGGAGAACAAGTATAACGACTGCAAAATATGTGCACCATGCAGCAAACATGGAATAAACGGGAACTTCCCTAATGTAAAAAAACTACTACAATACACAGTGGCGAATCCAGGATTTTTGCCAAGGGTGTTCGGATTAAATATAGTAGAAAATATGATGGTTGGGTAAAAGTTTACGGGGGTTTCGGGGGCAGCGCCCCCGATTTTTTTTTAGGGGTAATATGGTGGAAGTCCCTCAAACAAACCCTAATTAGATGTGGGATACAAGCCCAATATTTTTTTCGTAACTAAATCCCTCGTTATGTATAATAAATGAAATAAAGGCTTTTTTTTTTTCAAATATCCCCATTATACCCTTAATTGTAACAGAACGTGTATTAACGTTACAAAGAGTTACATTGATTTGGTAAATCTCACGTTCCTTATAATTAGGGATCACATACCAATTTATTCACATAATCTTGTAACCGCATGGTAATATCATATCACTTCGATATGAAGAGATTGACGGTGATATCAGTACCATGGGTATTCTGCAAATCTCTGAGTTTCGTTCTTTCGTCTACAACCGTAAGAAGGTTCGGTTTATATCGCTTTTACCAATTGATTGTGTTTAATTGATGTGATCGGTTATTTTTTTTAATATATTTTTTTTTTAGTTTGCACATACAATTTCTGTAAATTTTTCTACTTTAGTAGCAGTATGTAAGAGGAGTGCTTTGTTTGAGTTTGGATTGGTAATTCAGTTTTTTGCATAATTTGATTATATGGTTGTTTTTTGTAGTTTCATCAATTGGCACGGATTTAATTTTTTTGTTTATGTAATTGTTTTACAATAAATTTTGATTTTTGTTGGACAAATTGGTTTCATCATGTTTACAGGTTTCCTAGTATGTATTATGGTTTTTTATTCATTGTATAGGTTTCTGTCGTTTTTTGTGGTATGTACAGATTTGTTGTTTTTGCTGTAGCCATTAATAAGATTATATGTACTGTCATTGCTAAGTTTATATGCACAATATTTTATAAACATATATTATGTTTTGTGTTGATATTATGTCATATTATTATCATAATACTATTGAGGTACGACACCGCTGCCTTGGCACACTGAAGTGTATCAGTTGGCGGAAGAACGTTATGACTCGGTATATGGGGTACTAATTGAGCTTGTTGCTGAAGTGGAGTTTTGGAACATAGCATGTTTCTGCGGAAAGTGGCGAATTTTGGGGTTTCCATGCGCTCATTGCTGCTTGTGTGTTGTACAAAGCGAACACGGAATGATACAATTATGTGGACGACTACTTTCATTTTTCTTCGAACAGACAAAGTTATGCTTAAATAATTTTTTCTTCTACTAGACCTTGTGTCGATTCTCCGTTGGCTGTGATTGGTCCGCCCGAGTTCCGGTCCAAGCAAAACGTACGCGGTAGAACAAAGACGAAAATGATTGTTTCAAGGCGTGAGAGTGTAGCGAGGAGGATGAGGTGTAGCCGCTGCAACCAGGTTGGCAGTCACAACAAGAAAACATGCACAAATGCAATTGAGTAGTTTTATTTGGAGTATTTTATAGCAGTTGCACTACGATTATTATTGAAACTTAGATTGTCTTTTTTTAACTCATGGATTTTTATTGAAGACTACTTATTTTTTCGGCAACTTCAATTTTTTTATAACTGGTTGACTGGTTTGTTTTTGTTCCATGAATTTTATTTTAATTGAGTAGTTGAGTATTTAATATTTTATTTTGAAGCTAATTAAAAATTTATAAGTTTTTCAATATTTTGTTTTCTTCACAGGTTATTGTATTTGTGTTTGTTGATTCTTTATGCGTTGGATGAATTAATGTGTTGTTTTGTGGTCGTCTTTTTGTTTGTTATACACAGTCTTACTTAATTTTGCATAGCTAGTTCACAGTTCATTCTTTCATTGTTGTTGAAATT